TTTTTTTTTCAACTAAAAAAAAATTTCTTTAGTACTCCATTTAACCCTACTTTCCTCTACACGATTGTGATTACATTTTCAAGTTGTCCACTGTTCAATATCGCGTGTCTATATTCCCGATAAAAGGTAGTTTACCGTAACTTTAATCGGCTTAGACTCAAGCTCGCTGCTCGGTCAATTTTTCACATCTTCCTTGATGAGTCACGATTTGCGGACATCCGAGGGGGATGTTGAACGATTAAAGGGAAATTGATAGTTCGGAAAAAAAAAAGAAGCTCGATCGGGTAAAGCTCTTCAAGTATTCACTCTTGGGGGATTATCTAGAAAGCATGCATTGGTAACTTGGTATTCGAGTTTCACGGTGTAATGGTTTTCGAAATGAGAGATGACGGATGAAGGAAGTCGTCGAACTCTGTCTCGTCTGGTTCACAGGTCAACACTTGAAGAAGAGCTCGATGTCAGAATCGTCGTCGGAGATAATGGAGCTGGAAGAGGGCATATTGCTCACTCATCCCGAGATTACGAAGAAGCCCAACTGCAACCCTCGCCATAATAACAATATTAATCCAGCCTGTATGAGCATCGAGACTGACGTCTGACTACTAGGTTGGTACATTAATTGATCTCTGGTCATGAGAAATTTCTCTCACGATAATATTAGAGGATAAACTTCGTCGAAGCGATACTTTCTTCGATACTTTTTAAACAAATAAGAGAAATAATATTTTAAAATATATAACAATAAAATTTTATAAATATATTTGAAATAAGAACGAATGTAATTTAAACAAGCAAAATTCGTACCATTGAAACTATACTGTATTCGATTCTGTAAGAAAGTAATTGTATTAATCATTTTATACTTTTATACAAAATAAAAAAAAAATATAAACATGTGAAGGAGTGATGCTTGGACAAGTTCATAGTATTAGAAATTCTACTATGTAGTATAGCAATTATGTGAAAATCTAAAGAATTTGATTTAGGAAAAGCACGAAGAGGAGAATGCCATCTTGAAAAAGGTTAAGTTTTTAGGTTAGAAATACAAACTATGCTTTGCATCCTGATACTTTTATAAAAATATTATATGATAAAAGTTGAATAACTGCTCGATGCGATATATAAAATGTTTTTTATTTTTTTTATTTTTTTTTATCTTCAACAATCTCTTTCAGGGAGCAATTATTCAATTTTTATCATATCACGAACAAAGTGCATCTCGATCAAATTCGTTCGAAGAAAAAAAATGGCGACATTGAAGATAATTCGTGTGATTACAGTGAAGGAGACTGTGGCAACGTGGTGGCCAATGCTGGGACATTTATCGAAGAACAGCTACAGCTTCCTACGGTGCCTGACGTAGGCCTCCTTCACACGTCGTCGTAGTCGCGCTAGCTGCGATCGCTAACGATAGCGCGTGTACGCATGCGCGCTAGCTGTTAGCTCGCACGTGGCTGCGCATGCGCGCGCGCGCGCCAACTCGCCGTCTGTCCATAAATTTGTCAATACGAGGGGTGCTTCCAATCCATTTTACCACGTTTGTCAACGAGACAAGAAGAAGAAAAAAAAAGGATGTGATGAAAAAACGAATTCAACGACCAAGAATCGGCTGGCTGATAATCGGTGTAATTTTTTTCCATTAGAATTCGAGAGTGAGTTCGAAAAAAATAATAATGAGAGAAGAATACGAAGCAGGGATGTGGAAAACGTCAAGGGACGACGTTAAACGACGTAACTATATATATATATATATATAGGGGGCTGAAATGAAGGGCGAAAAAAAAGTGAAAAGTAAACGAGAAAAGAGGTGGCAACGAGAGTTTCGACCGAGAGGAACCGTGTGTCGAAAAATATCGGGACAGCCGTTTCAAAGGTGTTTACGGTATAAACGCACCCCACGTAGGGACCTACATGCTAATAAGGGGATGGATCGGCATGTTTCAGTCGCTTGTCCACTTCCCACACCACCGACTCCAGTGTTCAATACAAATGATAACAAATAAATAAAAAAATAAAAAAAGTAACAAATAAACGGTATAA